ACACTATTCGTTGGTAAAAGAGTAGCCCAAGAGTTGGCGGTGGGTGGTGATGACTAGCTGCCTTCCCTCTAGTCTTACACTGCTAAATTAGGGACGGCTAGCGCAGATAGCCCTCGTGTAGCTTTGCGCGAAATTCCAAAAAACAAACAAACAAACAAACAAACTTATAGTAACGTAATATCACCAGGGCTCTGAGTTTTTGGTTTATATTTTGTTTAATTTTTCCCGTGAATTTATCGATGTTTATTACTACAACAACAACAAAAAAAAAAAAAAACTGACAATCGGTCCAAAAAGTATTAATAGTTTGTTTTTTTTTGGGGGGGGGTAAATATCGGGGTTTATTTTGGTGGACGGAAGGACAGGGGAAAAATTATTCAGGAGATTAATGCTTTGATAAACGGAATAAAATGTGGTACTAAAACATAACTGAACTCATAATGTCATTTCTGACATTAAGAAAACAATATATTTCTAATCCCCAAATAAAACTTATTAATTCAATCAACAATTTATTGTTGTAGACCTAGAGCTATTAGCCTATACGTATTTACATTTAGGCCTAATAATTAAGCCCAATATTTTAAAATGTATGCTTGGTATGTGTAAAGGTGTACGTCACGACTCACGTGATGTGCGCAAGATTTATCAGTATGTTCAGGTGCGCATGCACGTCAGAGTTGCATTCGTACCTGTTTATTGTATGATTCTTCTAAACTAATACATAACCTTAGTTAAACAGGCAGCTTTGCATATACACACAGATTATTATCTTTATACATACATCTCACACAAGCTATTATATTTTCCTAATAAAACAAGTTATTTTTGTAAACTTGAATGGTGCCCTGAATATCGCACACACAGCATACCATTAAAATTATATGTTTATATTTATCAGACAGGTTCCATTTCTCATTATCAGTTCTCTATCGTTTTTCACACAAAGTTCGAACAACATATTAAAGTACTGACATAACCATACGGAAATTACTTATTTTGCTACAGTTTACAAGAATGGTTAACGTTTTCTGAAATGTCGTGATACACTGAGCAGATTAGAAAAATAAAGTAAACATTATTGCCCGTTCTTACCTTAACTGTATGTAAGAATGAGGAAACTCATAAAAATTCTTAACAACAAAATACAAGACAATTTGCTTAAAAATTTATGACATAGAATTTTATGTCTTCATTTACTGAAGTGTGAGTTAATGCTACTCTTTGAGTCCAGGAGCTGCCTGTTTCTCTCATAGGATAAATAGCCAAATTATCTGAACTTGTACAAAAACAAATAAAGATAGGGGCTTACGATTTGAAATACATACTTATGAATGAGACATAAACATTAGTGTTGTTTTCTTCCGAAACCGTATACGATTTAGTACACTTGTGTAAAACATTAGACTATCGGTTATCAAGTAAACATCCTGCTTAAAGTTAGGGCAAAACACGGCTAACATGTACGTATTCTTGGGTGTTTTAATATAACTGGAATGTGCATTTCCTCTTCATCTCAAGTTAACCTCAGATCAAATTAAGCCCTTTTCCATTGTCTCTTTTTTGTTTTAAGGAGATTATAATTTTACGAGTCAGAAACTTAGTGAATACTGGGCAAACACATAGATCTGAATTTAATTAGAAAAGTTTGTATGTGTTGTTTCAATTTCTAAATTACAAAACCCAATGTATCATATATATATATATATATATATATACTAGCTGGACTACCCTCCCCCTGGAAATTATATAATTCATGATTAATGAAAGGTTATCTAAGGACATGAAAAGCTGCTTCCCTTATATGTAATTGCAAAAAACGCAAAAAAACCTTAAAAACTGCAAAACGCAAAATGCTAAACTGAAAATTTGTATATATCTCCCCATGGATCCATTAAATAGCCATACCAAATTTGGTAAAAATCCGTT